TTCTTACTCTCGGTATAATTTCTTCATTTCTCTATCTTACCCTCCCCTTCTCTCTCTCTCTCTTTCTCATTCTCTGACTCTGTCTCTCTCTCTCTCTCATTCTCTGACTCTGTCTCTCTCTCTTTCTCATTCTCTATATCTACCTTCTTCATCCTCTTACTCTCTCTGTGTTTGCCTCTTTCTCTCTTAATCTCTCTCTAACTCTCTTTTTGTTACTCTCCATTTCTTCTCTTCGTTTCACTCTTTCTCTTCCTTTTTTCATTTTCTCTCTCATCCTCCCGTTCTCTCTCTTTCTTTCCTTTTTCCATTTTCTCTCTCATTCTCCCGTTCTCTCTCTTTCTCTGTTCCTCATTCTCTCTCTCATCCTATCTTTTTCTCTCTTTCATCCTCCCTTTCTCTCATTCTGTCCCTTTCTCATTCTCTCCCTCTCTTTCATCCTCTTTTTCTCTCTCTTCACGTTTTCGTATTCCATCTCGCTCTGAAACGCCGCGGTAAAAAAAATAAAATAAAACCTCAAAAGCAAAGAGCGACAAAAAAAAATTAAAAACATTTTAAACATCCGGAAATTTCTTTCACTTATTATTATTATTATTATTATTATTATTATTATTATCATTAAAAAAAATATCCGCGTTTCCGTGACGGTTGTCGCCTCTGGAAAATACTACTTAATAAAAAATAAAAACCAATTAAAACACTTTTTTGCTAATTTGGGGCGTAAAAATCGAGTTTTTTTTTTTTTTGATTATTAACAAAACAAAAAAATAACGAATTCGATCAAATTAACGCGGACGTTATTATTATTATTATTATTATTATTATTATTATTATCATTTTTCTACGGTTTAAAAAAATTAAAACGAACGAACGAACGAACGAACGAACGAATGAATGAATGAATATACATTCGATGATGTTAATAATAATAAATACCTGTTTTTTTTTTTTTGTACGTACGCGTACCGAAACGTAAGGTACGTAATTTATTAAAATGCGACGACGTCGGTTCCGGAAGATTTTACGCGCGCGTTTTTTTTTATTTTTACATTTAATTGTAAGTTCAAAGCAATGAGTATAAAATGTAATTAACCCTGTTACTTATTCCTCGAAGGTTTTTTTTTTTTTTTTTTTTTTTTTTTTAAATAAAATTATTTTCGACATTTAACGAAATAATTACCGGTCGGTTGAATCGTTTGAGCTCTTTTTAAATTTATTTAATGCGAATCAACAACAAACAACAAACAACAACAACAACAGCTTATCAAACAATTTTAACACGATTTAGTACCGTCGTATGTAATACAAACAACAAAATAGAGTAAAAATGAAAATTATCGCGGGAAAAAATGAAATTAAAAAATCTCAAACATTTCATAGAGTAACAACAATTCACTTTAAATATCCGCCATCCGCCATTTTGTTTTTAAAACGAACACCGATTACGATAAAATAATCAATAACACGAAATCGTACAATTTAACAATTGATATACACGTTCGTAACGGTTTTTATCGATTGTTTTCAACCTTCACATTTGTAAAACACAACAAACAACAAGAAACAACCAAAAAAACAACAACAAACAACAACAAAAACAACAAACAAAACGATAAATTAAATAATTAAAAATCCTACCATCGTTTTCCTGTCGTTCGTTCGAAAAAAAAACCGTTAAATAATTATTTAAAAAATTAATCAATCTATAACCACGATAAAAAGTTCATCGAACTATCGTCCCACGCACACGCACGCACACACACACACACACACAAACAAACACAAATTTTTTTTTTTTTTTTTTTAACAGTTGAAAAAAAAAAAAAAAAAAAAAAAAAAAAACAAAAAACCCACACAGAAAAATTTAAAATTAATTTATTGGAAATTTATTTTTTGTTTAAAAAAAATAAATTATCCTTGCGTGTGCGTGCGTGCGTGCGTGTGCGTGCGTACGTGCGTAAATGAATTTTATAAATACCTTTTAAATAATTAATAATAATAATGTAATATTTTTAGGCAAATATGCGTTGATCAAGGTCAAGAACTCTCATTACAATATGGCTGTCAATTTTATGAAGTTTCGGCTGCTGAAAATTGGGCAGGAGTTTCACTTGCTTTTCAATCCCTTTTGAGAGAAGCCAGATCCGTACAAATATTAAGATCCCTACCTATAAGACCGAGAAAATCAGGAGTTAATAGCGTGTCTAAAGTATTGGGTAACATTTTTGGTAAAAACAACAGTAAAAACGACAGGAAAAAAAGACCGTCGTTAAGTATATGATAATATCATATCACATAAAACATCAAAGACTGCTGCTTCTCCACATCTTCATCTTGTACATAATAATAATAATTTTTTTTTTTTTTTGTATATATCAAACAACACTTTGAAAAAACTCAATCACATTCGATTTATCGATTATCTATCGATATATCGAACTGTGATAAACAATCTATTGTTTTTTTTTTATTTAAAATTTTTCTTTTTTCTCCTTTTTTTTTTTCTTTTTTGTAAATAAAAATTTTTTTTTATCGATTTATTTTTTTTAGTAGGATTTTAGATAAACTGTCATAATGATAATAATAATAATAATAAAAACAACAACACACTGTTTATTATTATTATTTTAATCATTACAATTTTTTGTAATGTAAAATAACGAATAAAAAGAAAAATTGAATTTTTTTTTTTTTATCGAATGAATAACTTGTGATTGATAATTATTTGTTTAATTCTGTAATTATTCATAAGTTGTTATTAAAAAAAAAAAAAATTTTTTGTAAATAATAATATAATTTTATGTATTGATAATAATAATTATAATTTTTTTTATTTCCTTTTACATTATTAAACCTTTTTTTTGTAAAAATAATACAAAAAAAAAATATTTTCTTAATGATTTGTTTTTGAGAGAGTATTCGAATAAAGTTTTTTTTTCAAAAATTTATCAGATTTAATTTCATTTGTTAAATTTTATGTAATAGTAAACAGTTTGAAAATAATAATGAATGATTTTAAATGTGAAAAAAGTTTTCATAACACTCAGCAAATGTTTTATCGATAAAAGAAGTAAAACTAAAAGTTAATGATCGAATTGTACTTTACAAATGAAATTTTGAAAAAAATATATTTTGTTTTAATAAAATGAGTAAATATAAAACTACTTATTATCATTATTTATCACAATTGTTATTTTTTTGGTTATTATTTCTGTTTTGTAAATTTCTTTACATTTAATCGACAAATAATAAGTAATGAATATATGTATTTCTCGATTCAATTTTGATTACAAAAACTTTTTTAACATTTAAAAAGAGGTATTATCATGAATTTATATCATTTATAAAGAATAAGATTAAATATTTTTCTTTTTTCAACAAATAATATAATCTAACAAATGTTTTTTAAAAGAAATAAAAAAAAAACTTTTTCAATCATACCATTCATTTAATATGAATTTTATCCAGTTTAGGTTATGTCGTCATATATTGCAAGCATTTTCCTATCATAATCTTAACTTTAAATGAAATAGAAACAAATTATAACGAATAGAATAAAATCATTTTGTTTTTTTTACTTACCTTATCAAACAAACATTAAATCAAACTAAATAATTCAATAAATCACTAACAAAAATACAATTAAATAAAAACTTTTTCAAAATCACTCACGGTACAGTAAACGATCATTTTTCTACTTACACGTCTTTACAATCAAACGAACCAATCAACGAACGACTTTGAAAAAAATGGCGGCTCGTTTTAAATTTAATTCGACCAGTTGTAAACGATTTCATTTTATTAATTTAAAATTCGTTATCGGACAGTCCCCAATTTTCAGGATACATGAAAAAAAAAAAAAATAAAACAAAAAATTTACTTATAAATTAATTATTATATTAATAATAATAATAATAATAATAATAATAATAATAATAATAATAATAATAATAAAATAATAATTATTTTCACCCGTGCGGGTTTAACGAATTACAAAAAAAAAAAAAAAAAAAAACCAAAAAAAGAAAAATAAAAATTCTCACTGTTGTATTTAAACTTACGAGTGTAAAACAAACATTTTTTCTCAGAGCCTTTCACACATTATCAAATCTTAATTAGAATATAATAAATGAAAAAAGAAAAAATAATTAAATGATAATAATAATAGTAACAATGATGATGATCACTGATGATGATGATAACGACAAATTATTAAAGAAACAAACAGAAAAATCAATAGATACATAAATACATAAACATTATACTACGCACGTGGTTTTCACGTGTTTTTTGTTACCCTCCACACACAAAAAAACAAAAAAATTGATGTGCATCATTATTATCATCATCGACGTCGTCGTCATCGTTGCGTGTTAATTAACGAAAAAAATAATAATAATAATAATTTTCAAAAGGCAACAACAAAATGGACGGAATTGTATTTCTGTGATAGTAAAAAAATTTTAGTCTTGATTGTAGTGATAATCAAGATGATAACAACAATCACAACAACAACAACAACAACTTTTAAAATTTCAAAATATAAAACCAATATTAAGTACAAACACTGTGGGGGGGGGGAGAAGGAGGGGGAAACCGTTTCTTACTGTGATTTCCCATCATCATCATCATCATCATCATCATCATCATCATCGTCGTCGTTATCATAATTATCATTATCGACGTCAATCACGTTACAATCAATCAATCAATCAATCACGGCTACAAATAGCTCGAGTTAAACCAAACTCGGGGGGAGGGAGGAAGGAAGGGGAGGGGAGGAAGCGGGATCGGGAGGGCGAGGACAAAGTAATAAAATACTAATAATAATAATAATAATAATAGTAGTAGTAGCGGTAGTAGTTAGCGCGTGATTCGACACGTTCGAATTTTCTTTTCCTTATTTTTTTCAAAGGGGGAGGAACGCGGGGAGGATTCGTTCGGGAAGGGAACACAGAGGAGAAGGGGAAGAAGGGAAGAGGGGGAAGGGGAAGGCATCAGGCCTACAGCGTGTCGATAATTTCGTGTTTTTTCTTAACGTCCATCGCTTCCTTTTTCGGATCGTATTTTTTCCTCGATGCCAATTTCGACCTGTACTCGTTCACGGTCATGTTCAAATTTAATTTCGACGTCGGTTTCGTTTCGACGACAGGAGGAGTCTCGTCCTTGTGATGATGATTATTATTATTATGATTATTATTATTATTATGATTATGATTGTTGTTTCCGATTTCTGCCGTCGGCGTCGTTGTCGTCGTCGTTGTTGTTATTGCAGTCGTTTCCGGTTTTGAATTGTCAATTTTTTCCATTGTTTTCTCGTTGTTTTCCATTTTCTTCTTCTTTTCCTCTTCTTCCGTTTCTTTCGGCGTTTGCGGCGGCGTCGACTTTTCTTTTTCTTCTTCTTTGTTTCCGTTCACGATTGTTTGATTTTCCCTGTGTGGCGTTTTCATGACTACGACCTGAACAAAAAAAAAAAAAATTTTTAATTATTTTGATATTGTTTTTACCTTTTTTATTACCCCCCCATCTTTCCCCGCGTGTTTCTCCCTTCTCCCCAATATTAAATCGTGGGAAAAAATTTCAAAATATGTGACGTCACATCAACAATCACACGCACGTACCTTTTAAACTTTAACTTATCCTTTTCCCGACGGCAAACAAACGCGACTTTAAACAATATTAAACAAATCCGACTGACGCAAACAATCGTAAATAATTTTTATTTATTTTTAGTTATTCCAGAAAATTCCAAGGTCGAGAGAGAGAGAGAGAGAGGAGGGGAGAGGGGGGAAGGGGAATATTTCATTTTTTCTACTTCGTCGTTTCCGCGTTTGTGTAAAAAAAAATCACGTGAAAATAATTATTTATTCAAATATTGACCTATTGGCCACGATTTTAATTTTTTCGCATAACCATCCCGTTCACAATCGTGATTAACAACAACCAAAACAACAAACAACAAACAACAACAACAACAACAACGTCATCATCGTCATCATCACCGTCATCGTCATTATAACATCACGCGAACGAAAACGACAACCAAAACTTCCATTTTCCGGAAAATGGAAAAAAAAAAAAGAAAAATTATCATTTCGTAACGAATTTATAAACGATGATAATAATACTCGAACTTTATAGTGTTACTCTAATCGTTGTTTTCTCACCTGCGTGTAAATTTTTTTTTTTTTTTTTCTAGAAGTTTCGAAATAGAAAAAAAAAAATCTTTCAGTCGTGAAAGGTCGTTAAGAAAAAAAAAAAAAAAATTTTTTTTAAATGCGAAAATTAAGGAATAATTTGTCGTGATTTGAAATTTAAAACCAAACTTTCGTTTTTTATGAACGTCTTTCGAATTTTCAGTGGCACTAGAATACGTAATCGTCAACGAAATCTAACCATGTCGTGTAAATCCGTTTATTGCTTCTGCTGTTGCTTTTTCTTCTTCTTCTTCTTCGTTTTCCCTTTCCGGTCACGTTATCTATCGTCACGATAAAAACGCGATTCGTTTTCTAATATAAAAGATGGCGTCGGCGTCGTCATCAGGCGGGGGGACAACAACAACAACAATTTCGAATCCGTTCGTTCTTTTCGCCTCGTCATTCCTTCCCCTCCCTTCCCTTCCGTCATTAACCAAAAACAAAAAAAAAATAATTTTTTTTTTTACCTCAGACATGGATCCCGTGATTGTGATATCATTCGCTTGAAAATATTCACTCGATTCTTTATCCACGACCAACAATTTCGTTTCGTTTGGATTTTCCTTGATCCTACTCACGACTTGTTTGTGTACTTCTCCATTAATGTTGGCACCGTTAACTTCTATTATTCTATCTCCCTCTTTTAATCCCGCTGCTTGAGCCGGAGAACCTTCTTCCACCTGCAAAGGAAACAAAACAAAAAAAAATTATTATTATTATTTGTTTTTTTTTTCATTTAAGTTTTATAATATCAAATTTCGAAAATCCTTCCTCTTACGTAATCCAGAAAGTGAGAGAGAATGGGAGAGAGAGAGAGAGAGAGAGAGAGAGAGAAAAGGGCAATAAAGATAGCGATTTTATCGTCGAGTGCTTGAGAAGGACAAGCATTTAACCGAGACTTTGTGGGTGTCACGTGGGTGTACATTTACAATTACACCATCGAAACCATGCATGCATAAGCACGCGCACACACACACAGACACACACACACACACACGAATTAATCTCGTAAATTTTTCCCGTCGGAAAATAATAATAATAAATTTAAAAAAATAAAAGTGGCAACAGAATAAAATTTCCTAGTATTATTACACAAAACGAGTAAAACAAAAAAAAAAAATTACATTTCAAGGTCTTTCTTTGACTGCTGTCACGTTCGCACAATACGAAAAAAAAAAAAAAAACAAAAATACGAACCGAAACAATAAAAAAACGCGCGCGCACGTACGCACCCACGCACACACGCACACTTTACGATTATTACAATTAAAAAAAAAAAAAAAAAAAAAAAATCTTTTGTTTTAACTTAAAAGTTAAACGTTAATCGCGTTTGTCTCGATTCATAACGCGACAACAACAAACACGCGCGTTTGTTGTAGGATTTAAAAGTCGATCGAGTGAGAGAGAGAGAGAGAGAGAAAAAAAAAAAGTTTCGGACGTTAAACTCGTTCGATTCTTTTTTTTTTGTTCGTTTGTTGTTGTTTTTATTTTTGTTCGTAATTCATTTAACTGGAAAAAAAAAAAAAAAAACAAACGAACGAACAAACAAATACAAAAAAAAAAAAGAACGAAAACGAAATCAGGTGCGATCCGGAAATCGAAACCTTGAATTATAAAACAAAAATAATAATAATAATAATAATTATTATTATTATTTTCGTTATCGTTTCCCGTCGTCTGTGACAAGAAAAATCCTTTCTCCCCTCTCTTTCAACGTCTTAAAACAAGCAAACAAACAAACAAACAAAAAAATTAACAACCGACATAACGACGACGGCAATCGTAAATTTTCTTTTATGTAACAAAAACAAAAGTGATCCCGAATACGAACGCGTTAATTAATTTAATTATTTAATTACTGTTTTTTTTTCTTCGTCACCTGACTTTTTTCCCCCGTACCTTTCGCCCTCATCTTCCCCCTACCCCCTCCCCCCATTTACGGATCATAATAATAATAATAAACACGACCGGAATTTTTCAACTCGAGACGCGGAGGATTCAAAAAGGATTCGACGTGACGTATGCCCCCCATAACTAACCCTTTCTTAATTCGGTGTCATTCTTATTGTCTCCTTCCACGTACATGCAAAACAATCACGCTTTGGAAATTGTTTTATTTACCAAACACGTGTAAAAAATAATTAGTCACGTGCGTTCGTGCGTGCGTGCGTGCGTGAGCTCATTTACGTATAAAAGTCGACCGAATGAAATTTACTCTCCGCGTTTGTCTGCGCGACGCGAGGTTTCAACCTACGAAAATAATATTAATAATGATGATTATGATGATGATGATATCAACGGTTGATCGTAGTCCAATTGTCGCCCGTGAATTATTATTATTATTATTATTAATTTGTTCGATTGACCTCAACCGTTTACGTGTTGTGCCTGAACATGTGCGCGTGCGCATCCGTAATGTACCCGCGTTCGCCTTTATTTTCTTTTTTTTTCTTTTCTCTTTTTATTATTTTTCATATCGTCTTTTTGTTTTTTTAATTAAAAAAAAAAATTTAAAGAATGCGAAAAATTTTATTATTATTATTATTATTATTATTATTATTATTATTATTATTATTATTATTAAAGAAATTCTTACGTTGCCAATGAATTGCCCCGGTTTATTCATGTTGGCATGAAGGTTAAATCCATATCCATCGTAATCCGGCCATTTGACGAGATGACACAACCTGGCGACGGGTTTCGAGGTCAAGTTTCCGTTTGATTCGTTAGTAGACATGATATCACCGACAACCTGCAAATTAAAATCAATCAAATTAATTATTATTATTATTATTATTATTAATTGTTACAAATTTTATTAACCTACTCTGTGAATAATAATAATAATGATAATAATAAAATTTACAAAAAAATCCCTATAAACCTTCTAAAACGTTTTCGCGAAATAAACTTTCCGAGAAATTTTCCACGAAACGACGCGAATGGGGGGAGGGGAGGAAATGCTAGAGTATTACTCGTGACCCAACAAAAGAGAGAGAGAGAGAGAGAGATTGAAATAAAAGTAAAGAAAAAGAAGAAAAAAAATTGATACACATTATCAAGATTCGATAAAAAAAAATTTATAATAATAAAATTAATTTCATTTACAGTTTTCTTTTTTGCTTTTTTAAATTCTAAACAGCAGCAAATTCATGAACCGCAGCAAAAAAAAAAATTCGAGAAATATTTATATATAAGTAAAACGTGCCAAATGAAAATTATCATAACGCATATTTTATCTCGTCAAAAAAAAAAAAATCAAATCACTTATCGAATATAAAAAAAAAAAGAAACGACGTCAGACACACTTTCTATTTTTCTAATTTTTTTGTCTTCTTCTTCTTCTTCTTTTTATTTGAAACAACAACAACAGCAACAGCAGCAGGAGGAGAAGGAGGAAAGTCACGCAACAAACGCGTCAAAAAAATATAATTTATATTTTAAAAAAAATAAAAATCCCCCAAAATTATTATTATTATTATTTTTTGGAAACGCCCTAGAAAAAAAAATCCGCCCTCGCAAAATCCATATAATTTACAAAAAAAAAATAATTTATTTTATTTTTATTTTTAAATAAATAAATAAATAAATATTGATGACGTGGAATCGGGAAAAATAAATTTTTTAATGACGTCACAAATCGTAAAATCGTTTTTTTTTTTTTATTTATTATCAATAACCGTTTGAATAAGAAAAAAAAAAAAAATTCCTTTCCTACTCCCCCTCCCCCTTCTCCACGCGACGGCGACAGATCGATAATTGATCGATCGCAAGTGATTAGTAAGAAAATAGAGGAAAAGAAAGAGAGAGAGAGAGAGAGAGAGAGAGAGATAGATAGAGATTTTGTTCTTACGGCTCCCTACGATCGACGAACGACATTTTATTTCTTCGAGCCTACTTTTTATTAAAAAAATTTTTTCCTCGAAGGGAGGGAGAAACAACAAAAATTTTCTCAAAATTAAACCTGCCTACGAATTTTCCCGCCGGAAATTAATTATCAATTATCTTCTGCTGCCGCTGCTGCTGTTGCCGTACTTGCTCGAACGTTTCAAAATTTTACTTTATCCTTATTTTTATATTATTTTTTTTTACCACGTGATCCGCGAATACGGTCCATTTATAAACAATTACCGTCTCAAAACAATTAAAAAAATTTACCATATAGGCCTTGAAAACGTAGTAATAATAATAATAATAATAGTAATAATTTTCTTTTCGATTGTCATTCGTTTTGTAAAAAATTTCATTATCGTCGTCATTATTACTATTATTATTATTATTAATACTACTACGGTGTTATTAAAAACAATAACTTTTGCATTTATTTTTTTTTAATGGTTACGCCAGATAATTTGTCAATAACACTAAAAAAATTACAATTCGCAAACGAAATAATAATAATAATATTGATAATAACGCGTTATGAAACAAGATATACCGATTTTGCACGTCGAAATGACTCGTTTTGTTTGTCGTCCTTAATTGGGGAAAGGGGGAAATTGGGGGGGTCAAATTAAATTTTTAATTATTTTTTGTATCTGGAAAAAAAAGAGAGGAAGAGAGAAAGAGAGAGAGAGGGGAATTAAAATGGTTCAATCTTTTCGAAATCCCTTACGACTGCGACAAGTTGTTTTACATAAACAAACAAAGCAAACACCCTCCTCATCACAACAATCAACAAAAACAATCAAAAACAATCATCCTTCCGACACAAAATATAATCCTGGAACGAATTTCTAACAAAACCAAACGGAAACACAATTATAATAATAATAAGAAGAAGAAATAGCCAGGATGTGGGGAACAAAAACACAAACGACTCCGGTCATTGTGGGAGCAGCATCACTGGGAGCCATGTCACCACATTCAATGAAAGGAAATTTAAAGAAGATTTTAAAGAACCTAAAAGAAGAAACCATCCAGGAAATCGCACCATGTGGGACGGCCAACATTCTTCGAAAAATATTACAAATAGCACCAACGAAATTCTAGCATTTATCCCTAAGGAATCGTCGGGTAGAAACCTGAGATAAATGCTTAAAAATCCCGACAAATAAGAGCCTTGTCGTGTTTAAGAGTGACCATAACAATAATAATAAAACTAACCGTAAATGCATCTTGTAAAATTCTTTTTTTTCGACAACTTGAGACAAACGAGAGACCGGGGTAAAAAAAAATTTCGGTGAAGCAGAAGCGAGAAGAAACTCTATGGAAACATAGAAAGAATGGACGGCATGTGGGGGGGTGTGTGCGCGGAATGAAAGGTAACAAAACGAAAACGATGGAATTAATTACAAAAAGAAAAAAAAATAATAATAATAAAAGAAGAAGAATAAGAAAAACCGAAACTCAAACCAACCCCATCACGAAAGAACGAACGTAACAAAAGGTATCAAAACTAGTTTTTTGTTTTGTACCAGGTATATACACCCGCGACTCGCGTCGTCGTCATCGTCTCAGGTAAATTCGTCATTCTTTCAAATTTTTTCTCTCTTTTTCTCCCCCTATCCCTCCCCCTTTATTCTTTCACGACATATTTCTTCTTCTTCTTCATTATTATTATTATTTTTTATTTCGATTTCCGACTCCGATCAAAAGAAAAAGAAAAAGAAATTTCTCTCGTTTAGATTTCGACCCTGCAAACCTGCAAACAAAACCGTTACCGTTTCGAACCTTGTTCTGGAGAAAACGATTAAGAAATAATAATAATAAAAAAAAAATAGGTTTCGTAACCGTCGTCGCGTTTTTTGTGTTTCATTTTGTCGACATAAACGTTTTTACAAATCACGCGCAATCGTTGACATTATTATTATTATTATTATTATTTATTATCCACGACGACTACCGAAAGCGCGAGTCATTTTGTATTTTCTTTTAACGTCATTCTTTCCGGGATTTCGTTTTATTTCTCAGAATCAAGTCGTACAACTTGACAGACAACCTTTTCGACAATATCGATATGATGAATCGATCTAAATTCTCGAACTCGAAATGCGTCTGTCTCGAATCGATTTGAAATTCTCGTTAAAAATGTCGTAAGCGCATTTACGAAACGTACCCCCGCCTCTTTTCGCACGTATGCAAACTACTCGACTTACGATTCGGGTAGTAACGAACAAACCATTTCCGTATCCGGTTTTTAAAGTAAAGCACCCAAAGGAAAACTGGGTAAAAGGTCATCATCGTCTTCTTCACCTTCATTGTCATTGTTATTGTCAACGCATGACCCGACACTCAAATTCCTCGTTAATTAATTTAACCTTTTACCATTATTATTATTATTATCATTATTATTATTATTATGTCCACTATTAAACAATCATTTTATCATCATCAATCTTTTTTTTTGTTTCTCACGTTAATAATAATAATAATAATAAAAATAAAAAATGGTGGCGGATAGATGATGCATTCGATGTGTTTAAAAGGCAGCACACCTGTGATTATTATTATTATTATTATTATTATTATTATTATTATTTTTTCATTTTCATTCACCGTGTGAACATTAAAGAAAAATAAAAAAAAAAAAAAAAAAAAAAAAAAAGAAAATGGCGTTATTGATTCAACTGAATAAATAAAAATAATAAATAAAAAATAAAATAATAATAATAATAATATTAATAATAAAGAAAAAAATTTCGTGCATTTAAAAATAATCGTCATCGTCATTATTATCATTATCATTGTCATTATCTTTGTCATTGTTATCACGTGGTATTATTGTAGAAGGTTTTTTCAGTTAGTTTTTTTTTTAAAAACTTTTTTCCCTTCTATCCCTCTCTCTCTCTCTCTATCTTTTGTTGGTTGTTGTTGTTGTTGTTTACACAATTATAAATGATATTAAAATCTTTCTTAAGTAATTTATTGTGTCACGTGATGATTTTTTTTTTTTGAAGGATTAATGAAAAAAAAATGACGGATTTATTAATGTGAAGCAGTTTGATAGATAAATTAAAAAATGATAAGAAAAGAGAGAGAGAGACAGAGAGAGAGAGAGAGAGAAGAAGAAGAAGAAAAAGAAAAGAATACAGACGAAGAGCGAGAGAGAAAGAAAAAGAAGAGAGAAAGAAGAAGAAAGAGAGACAAACAGAGAGAGAGAAAGAAGAAAGAGAGACAGACAGACAGAGAGAGAGAGAGAGAGAGAAGAAAGAGAGACAGACAGACAGACAGAGAAAGAGAACAAGAGAGAAAGAGAGAGAGAGGGAAGAAGAAGAAAGAGAGACAGAGAAAGAGAACAAGAGAGAAAGAGAGAGAGAGAGAGGGAAGAAGAAGAGAAAGAGAGAGAGAGAGAGGGAAGAAGAAGAGAAAGAGAAAAAATTATAAAAAACAAAAACTTATTAAATTAAAACGAGTATCAATGAAATTTCATTACAACATTGGAAAAAATAGAATATGGGAATTATTATTATTATCATTTTGTTGCACATGAACAAAACAACAACAACAACAACAACAATTTCATTAAAATTTTTTTTTTAAAACACATAAAAAACTCTGAGATTAATTTTACACCGAGTAACAACAAAAAAAAAAATTTATTGCATTTCTGATATCCATAAATTTATTTATTTAAAATCAACTTAATTTGTTTTACTGATTTTTTTTTTTTTCGAAAGTGATAATAACAGTGTTTCATTGGAAAACATATTAATAATAATAACAATTTTCCTTTTCAAAAGTACTAAATAATTATTATTATTATTTCGAATGAAATCTACAAATGTTTGCATACCATAAACGACAAAACCTCTACATGACAAAACTTAAAAAAATAAACTCTTAGATAAACAACATAATGAAAATGTGATAATATGTGATAACAATTTTTAAAAAACCATATTTAAAAAATAATAATAATAATAATAATAATAATAATAACAATGATAATAATTCAATTTACTTTTTACATTTTTACAAAAAAAAAAAAAAAAAAAAAAAAAAACCTTCAAACTTTATCGAAATGACTTACTTTTTAGAAAAACCGTTTACAAAAAAATAAATAAATAAAAATTAATTAATTAGTTATGTGTTTATTTTCTGTTTTGAAAATTAAAAATTAAAAAACAACAACTAAAATTAATTTCTTAACAAATAATAATAATAATAATAATAATAATGATAACAACAAAATAACTAGTTTGTTAATAATCTTACTCATTTGTAAAATTTTTTTTTTGTAATATTATTTTTTCAGGTTCACAACCGTGTAAATTATGCTAATATTTTATCCAATCATAATAAGTTAAGATTTGATAAAAGAAAAGAAAAGAAAAGAAAAGGAAAACAAATTCATGCTCATGCAACAATACACGAAGACAAAAAAGAGAGAGAAAAAGAGAGAAAATAATTTTCGCATGTAATCATCATCATCATCATGATCATCATCGATAACAAAAAAAATTCATTTCGAAAAGAGAGAGAGAAAAAAAAAAATTTATTTCATTTTGTTTTGTGTCAATGACAAATTTATTTAATATGGTAATGACAAAACCTCATGGAGTCATGAAATAAATAAAAAATAAAAAGAATTTATAATGTTTCATAAAATAAAATAAAAATATTAATAATAATAATATTTATGAAAACTGCCTGAAGGTTTAACATAACTATTACAATTGCAAAATTTAATGCAAATTTTTTAAAGAGAGAATGTTCTAAAGGAGGAAAAACAATCATTTAAATATGTTTAAATATTTTTAATATAAATAAATAAAATAATATAATTTAATAGAAAGAGAGAGAGAGAGAGAGAGAGAAATGGGGGGAAAATAAATGCCGAAAGGTTTTAATGTGAAATTGGGTCTAGGTTTTTCAAGGTTGTAGGCATCATCACACCGATTTTTTTTTTTCCCCCCCTTTCCTTTTCTTTCCTTCTTTCTTTCTTTTTCCAACGGTAAATATAAAAATTTAAAATATAAATAAATAAATAAATAAATACTCACATTCAGTTAATGTCATAAAATATATAAAAAAAAAATTTTGATTTTGAAAACTTTTTACAAAACCTACTTCGCGTCGTCAAGAACGACACAAATACGAACGAACGGAGATGTAAATATTTTATGAAAAAACTTAAACGAGTTAGTCAACAACAAAAATGATACGTTGCCAAATCGGCAATGAGGGAAAATCTCGCCACCGCCTTGTATTAAATTGTAATCTCTTGTTATTCACACTACTTACGCGTACGTATATGCGTGTCTATGGCATCGTTTTACCCGCGAATTTTAAAATAAACGTTTATTATTACCGTGTATCGGACATTTTCTTTTTTTCTTTTTAAATTTTCGCGCGTTTTTTTTAATGCTTCCCCCGTTTTAACGTTTTTTAAATGTTATTTATTCTTTTATCGGTTTTTTTTCCCATTACATTTCACGCTATCTATATTATTATTAGTTATCCAAAAAAAAAAAAAAAAAAAAAAGATAATTTTAACGTTTCCTTACCTGTTTACTACGGTGATGGTAATGACACCATATCGAGGATTTTAAAACCAAAATATAAATGGCGAAACGTTCCATTTTTAGTGGTGACAAAAAAAAACGTTTTTTTTTTTTTTTTTTTTTTTTTCGTTCTTTTTTCCTCTCGATCGATATTAAACAGAAATCAACGCTTGCGCTCTCATTTCATCTGCAATAAATAAACGTTTCACATATGAAATCAAAAGACTCGGAGTTGGCGGACGGTAAATATATATACACAAAAAAACCAGGTAAGATTTTCATTATTATTATTATTATTATTATTATTATTAATTATAAAACGTTTTAAACCCTACACGTTTAACCCTTTCTCTCCCTCCCCCTGCGGTAAAATCCTTTAAAATTAATCTCGGGAGAGAGTGTGAGAATGATCTGACGTTTTGAACCTTTTATAAAATTTTCCCCCCAATTTTCATTTCCGATTATTATTATTATTATTATATTTCGCCCACGCATACAAAATTTTCATTTTATCGATAACCTTAAATGAGCAGAAGAAATCAAAACAAAATTTATTTATTTATTTATTTATTTACGATGATCGAACCCATACACACAAAAATGGCCGAATTTTCCTGTTTCGTTGTCGTTTGTTATGCATGAATGATGAAAATACACATATTTTAGTAGAAACAAAAACAAAATTATGTTGTTGTTGTTGAAACAACAACAACATAATATGTAATAATAATAATAATAATAATAATCCTTCTTATCGATTTAAAAAAAAAATTTTTTTCGATTTCATCCAGACATTCATTCGGAAAGTGAAACGAAAAAAAAAAAAAATTTTTTTAAATTAAATTCTTTATTACTCAACTTTGCTGGTTGTGTTTGTTGTTGTTGTTGTTTGTTTCTGCACTTTCACGGTATTACGAACATTATAATATTATTATTATTATGATCGTAAATAATATCGAGTGATAATTAATTACACGTCTTGTTAATTCCTATCGTGAAGAACATTCGCGCACTTTTTTTCTCCCTCCATAAATAATTAAACGCCTGTAAAAAATTATTATTATTATTATTATTATTATCGTAAACTGGACATGGGTTTAGTTATTAAAAAGTTAATAAAATTTTGTAGAGGTGCAAACAACGCTATAACGAACCAATCGAAATTTTATCATTAAAAAAAAGTGTTAAATTTTTTTTTTTTTTTTTAACGTGTCACCAACTAGACGAACCGTTATGATAACTAAACCGTTGACGTTTTTTAGCGGGATTAACAGAACGTGACATAAATAACCTTTTAACCGTCATCGGGTGGGTGACAACAAAAAAAAAAAAAATAAAAAAATCTCGAAAAATTTCGATCGTTTCAAATCCTTTTTTATTTTTTATTTTTCTTTTTTCATCGCCATTATCATCATCATCATCATCATTATTATTATCATCATCATTTTGCAAATTTACGTCTTCGTCGCTTCCGTAACACTTTAAAAAAAAAAAATTTTTTTATAACCATATAAATTTTTTAATGAGTTTATAATAAAACGATTTACGTAATATCATAATGAATGAAAACAAATCGAAAATAGAATATCGAACGTCGAGTCGTAATTTTCAATTGTTTATTTACTCTATGACGGACCGTTCGTTCAACGTAATTTTTTTTTTTTTTCGAAATCTCAAAACGTTAAGAGTTAAAACACAAAATTTGTTGTCTTTTAATTAAAAAATTTAAACTCGTAAAATGAAAAAGTTACTAATATTATTATTATTATTATTATTATTATTATTGATATCGAGTGATGACGTAATTAACCATTAATGAATTTCGTCTGTTGACGCGTCTTCGTGATGATGACGTCAGTTAAATTAAAAACAATAAATAATCTTAATTAATCCTTTCCATATTCCATATTTTTTATTTATTATTTTTTTGTTTATCATCATTAGAATTTTTTTTTTTTTATCAGTTCTTATCAGTTGAACGAATAAAGACGGAAACGTGACATTTCGAATCAAATCAAACCAAATCGAATTTGACACGGACGAATATTTTTATTTATAAATTTTGAAAATTAAATTTTTTTTTTTTTAATTAAACGGAATCCGATTGTTTTGTTATGAACGTTTGTTATGATTGTCGTTTGTTGTTGTTGTTGTTGTCGCCTCCATGAACGGAAATCAAAAAAAAAAAAAAAAAAAAAACGAGCAATTAACATTAAAAAAAAAAAATAATAATAATGAAAAATGAATTTTCTCTCTTTCTCTTTCTCTCTCTCTCTCTCTTCTCTCTCTCTCTCTCTCTTTCTCTCTCTCTCTCTTTCTCTCTTCTCTCTTTCTCTCTCTCTCTCTTTGTCTCTTTCTCTCTTTCTCTCTTTCTCTCTCTCTCTCTTTCTCTCTGGGTGTTTGCCTTTCTTTTTCTTACTCTCGATATGTTCTCTTTGTTTCTTTCTTTTTTTCTCTCATCCTCCCATTCTCTCTCTCTCTCTCTCTCTCTCTCTCTCTCTCTCTCTCTCTCTCTCTCTCTCTCTCTCTCTCTCCAGGAAATAAATCGTTATGGTCAGAAATAAATTTTTTCTTTTCAATTTCGTCAAACTGGAATCTTTATTATTATTATTATTATTTGTTTTTTTCCTAAAATGACGACGCGTTTAATAATTTTTATGCGTACTTTCAAACCCATTCATCAACTTCCGGTTATTTTTTTTTCATCTTGCTCAATCTTCCATCATTTTTTTTTGTATGAACATCAACCGGATTTTATTGACCGATCATTTCCGGACAGTCAGGAAATGAAAAACGATCGACATTTTCAAAAATTAAAAAAAAAAAACCCAAAGAATTTCGTTAAAAGTCACCAAAGTTTCATTCGACAAACAATTCGACAACCAAACAACCGACAAAAATTTAAGTATTTTTATTATTATTACGCCAATACTTTGTTATTGTTTTCTGACCGGGGGAGGGAGTGGGAGGGGAAGGGGGGGAAGCAAAACGAATCCGCGTGCGCGCGCGCGTAAAAAAAAAAAATTAAAAATGGAGTCGTATTTACGTTTAATTATTTTTTTACAGGAATTAAAATTTGAAGAAAATGTATTTGAAATTACAAATGATATTAATTTTCATCATCGGCGGAGTTCGCTCTTACACGGACACGTCAAATTTCACATTCAAACATCATTCGAACGAGGAATTGCCCATAATATTGCGTGAAATACATTCCATGTGTCCAAACATAACGAGAGTATATACCCTCTCCGAACCTTCCGTCTTGGGCGAACCTTTGTACGTCATTGAATTCTCCGAAAATCCCGGATACCATCAACTTCGTAAGTCTCACGACCATCGTCAAATTTAAATTTTTTTTATTACTTGTAAATTTATTATTATTATTATTATTGCGTGTCAAGTTCGTCCGGAGTTTAAATACATAGCCAACATGCACGGTAACGAAGTGTTAGGACGAGAACTCTTACTTAAACTCGCGGATCATTTATGCGAACAATGGAGAACGAACAACGAAGACGTTCGTAAACTCATACGTTTGACGAGGATACATTTAATGCCGTCGATGAATCCAGACGGTTACGAATTAGCATCCAAAACGGTAATTGGTACCGTTCGTACGTACGTTCGAGCGTTCGAACGGTCCCGTTTTCATTTATTTTAATTTTTTCCAGTACAACAGCGGAGTCGCCGATTACCTCATAGGAAGGCCGAATAATAATTCGATAGATTTGAATAGAAATTTCCCGGATTTGGATAGAATCATGTTTGGAAACGAAGAACATCACATCAATCACAACAATCATTTGATGGAACAATTGGATTATCTGGAAGAACCGGTAGGTGAACGGTTGGAACGCCTTCGTCCGAACCACTCGTTCGTTGCATTTTTAATCCACCGCCTACTTACAGATTCAACCGGAAACGAAAGCCGTCATGAGACTCATTATGCAAGTACCGTTCGTTCTTTCTGCGAATCTTCACGGTGGTGATTTAGTCGCAAATTATCCATACGATACAAGTAGATCTGGAGCCGTTAAAGAATATTCGAAAAGTCCAGATGATGAAACGTTCAAGTAATTGAAACCGCCACCACCACCACCACCACTTCCCCTTTCTTTTTCCAGTTTTGTATAATGTTTTTTTTTTCTCCAGGCATTTGGCATTGTCGTACGCGTCGAAACACAACGAAATGTCGAATCCCAATCGAAAAGGTTGCGGATTCGACGAGTATAATTTCGGAAAGCAAAAAGGTATAACGAACGGTGCCGCCTGGTACAGCGTCAAAGGTGGTATGCAAGATTTCAATTACCTCTCGTCGAACGATTTTGAAATAACGCTGGAATTAGGCTGTGAAAAATATCCGTCGGAAAACACGCTGGAAAAAGAATGGGAAAAAAACAAAGATGCATTGATCAATTACATATGGCAGGTGAGCGACTTACTTCATATTCTCCAAAATCTAATCCCACGACACTATTATTATTATTATTATTAAAAAAAAAAATTTTTTCAGTCTCACATCGGTATGAAAGGTCTCGTCGTGGATGCGTTCACTGGTAAACATTTATCGAACGCCATCATTCACGTTAAAAATTTAACAAACGGTAAAGATTCGGAAATACAACATGACGTCACGTCAGGTGTGTAAACGAAAAAAAATTTGTTATTATTATTATTATTATTATTTTTCGACGTCACGCTTTATCGTCACCCGAATTCGTTGCAGTTCACGGAGGTGATTACTGGAGACTTTTGACACCCGGTGAATATTTCGTCACGGCTCAACACATCGGTTATCTACCCGTTAGTAAAAGAGTGACCATCGTCGACAAGGGTCACGAAGAAGCCGAACGAGTGGATTTTTATTTGCAACCTTTGCCGTCGGTATGACTCATTCATTCATTCATTCATTCCTCGAACGCTTTTCCCTTAAACGTTTCCTCAATAATAATAATAATAATTTTTTTTCTTTTTTGCAGTTGAATTTGAATTCATTAAATTCTCTATCCGATGAAAATCTAGATTACGACGGTTTCTATCAGGAAGATTCTAGAAATTTACGTAAGAGATGGTTTTCCGGTTTGAACGTGTACAAACGTTCGATATCGAATCGCATAAGTAGGCTCGCATCGTAAACGAAAATTGAAAAACCCAAAAAAAAAAAAAAAAGGAAAATTAAATAGGATCCACGCCGTACCTGAAACTTAACGTAATAATAATGATAATGATCATGACGATGGTGGTGGTGGTGATGATGATGATGATGATGATCCGACGATGGTGTTAGTTTGTAAATACACACAAAAAAATCTGCAATAATAAACATGTATTCACATACATAATGATAATATATACGTATACAAAAAGAATGAAATCGAAAAAAAAAAGAAAAGTTTTTTAATTTTCACTCCGTTTTTCCAGAACACGTGTGTCGCGTAGAGATTTTTTAAAAAAAAAGATAAAAAAAAAGTTCCTGGAGAACTTAAAAAAATTTTTTTTTTTTTGCCAACGGCTGGAAAATCGAAATAAAAGACATTAGAGAAAGAAAGATTCGTGCCATCCTCCCCGCTTCCCAATCCCCACCCCTTCACCCTTTCCCAACGTTTTTCCGGATTGAAATAACGAAAAAAGCGAAAAATCATATAACGACGATTCCAGACGAAATATTTTATGGTTTCCACTTAATAGAAGAAAAAAAAAATTGAAAAGATTTCTATCCGTGACGTAATTTCCGTTTTTGGTTTTTTTCTTATATAAAGTAATGGATATAAATGAATGAAAGAAAATTTTTATAGAAATTCGGTTCCAAGTTTTTTCCTTTTTTTTTTCTCCAGTACGTTTTATCGCTGTCGTGTCATTGAACTTTAATGCAAAATTTAAATGTTTGTAAAAAGAAAAACGCTGGAAATTTTGCGTTACCCCCCCTTCTCCCACCTTCCCCCGAAAACAATAAAAATGATAAATAAATAATAACTGAAAATTTAGTTTAGATCAAACGTAAGATAAAAATAGGGTCATGGAATCTTCCTACCCTTCCCCTACTTTTCACCCCTTTGAAAACCTTTTTTTTTTCTCCAAAACTGGAGAAGAATTAAACGATTAAAGTTACATCAAAAAGTTTTTTTTTTTTTTGTAAAAAGTTAATGAGCCAACAAACAAAAAAAAAAAAGAAAATCAATCCTGGAAAAAATTTTTCAAAACTAAAGGAAAATCGCCTCACCCTCACCCCCCTTTTCCCCCCATCGTCTCCAGTATGGCGATAACAATAAAAAAAAAAAAAAACTTGGCCACCGATGACGCCGAATATGCCGACGATGATGACGACGACGACGACCTCCCGTCGCCCCCATTTTATTTTTTTTTTTTTTTTTTTTACTGGAAAAAATTTTCTCTCCCTCCCCCTTTTCTCCGGCGTCGAAACCCGGATCGCGATTTCCAGCCTCTACCGGTGATTTCGTCATACACACACACACACATACATATACATCCTATCTTTCTTTCTCTTTCTTTCTCTCTTTCTCTTTCTCTCTCTCTCTCTATCTCTTTACGCCGTCGTTTTTCGCTTTCTCATTAAAAAATCTGCGCGCCTATTTAAAAGGAGACTCGATTCTTAGGTCGATATTCAGGCAGTTTCCGAACGGATTTTTATAAAGAACGTTCAAATTTGAACATTCGAGAACGGCTGAGTTTTACCACGTGCGAACGCGGTTATCACAACGACGACGTCAACGTCGACGTCGACGTCGACGACGATGACGACGACGACGATGATAATTCATTATTATTTTTAATACATAAATTTTTTTTTCTTTTTTTTTTTTAAATCGACAGGTACTCGAATCGTTTTTCTTTTTTTTTTCGTGAAAATTTTCATTTGTCTTTCTTTGCCAAAAAAAAAAGAAAAAAGGAAAAAACAAAACTGGAACGGAAACGGAAAGAATCAAAGGGAGGGAAAAGGGCGGTGGAAAAGTAAAGGGGGTTTTTTTTAATTACGCCCACGTTAAATTTTTTTTTTTTTTGTTTCGATTCGATATGACGTCATATAGAAAATTTTGTTCATGTTTTAAATATTAAATTAAAGAAAATTTAGGAATCGTTTCCGGTAAAAAAAAAATTCAAAAATTAGCAGGAGAAAGAGAAACGGGGGTAGGGAAGGGGGGGAAACCGTTTAGTTTTTCATGCCAAAGAGTATAAACATAGTTTATGACGTGTTTTTTTATTTAAAAACGACGACGTCATCGTGACGACATGACAATATTATTATTATTATTATCATTAAATTTTTTCTAGAATCCAACCTGACAACTGACTCAAGGGGTGGGTAGAAGTTTTTCCAGGAGGGGAAATAAAAAAAAAACGTTGGAAAAAAAAAAAAATTTAACCGGCGAATAAATAACGAAAGGACCCCGTGATAATAATGATAATGATGATAATGATAATAATAATGATAATGTAAAACCGCAGCTGGAAGTTTTCGTGTCGTTATAATAATTATATTTTTCTAACTTCATTATAAATTTTTTTTTTTTTTTTTTTTTTTTTTTTGGAAAATGGAAAGAGAAACGTGAAAGATAAAAAATGAAAATAAAAAAATGATGATAACGAAAAGAATTTTTTAAAAACGGAAATGAATTTTCTTTTTCTTATTTTCCAGAGAGTGAAAAAAAAAAAAAAAAATTTTTTTTCGAAAACGAAAAGAAAATTTCCAGTTTTTTTCCCTCCCCCCCTCCACATTTTAATTTGATTTCATTTTACGATATTGTGTGAAAAAAAAAAATAAAAAAAAGTCATAGAGTAAATAAACTAATTTAATGTTTAACGAGATTTAAAATTTAAAAATTTAAAAAAAAATGGCGCATTTTGTGACCGGCATACAACCTACGTTAATCGAAAACGTTCATAGAGGACATCAAGGACATGGTATATCAACCGTACATCAAGGACACGTTGGTGGTGTAACATCCGTACATCATCATCACCATCATCATACACCCCCATCACCATCGACGACCCATCATCATCATCATCACCACCAACAACAGGGACATCATCATCATCATCATCAAGGACACCATCATGGATCACATCAAAATTTAAAAGGAAAACAGGAAATCGTTGAAATTCAAACGCTTCATAAACAATCCGAGGTAACGCAAAAAAAAAAAAAAAAATTTTTTTCTTTTATTTTTCTCCTCATAATAAAATTTCATTCTCGCGGCCAATTATTTAACTTCGGGTCAGCCATTTTGTTTTTTTAAAAATTTTAGTTAATAATATTTACGATAGAGCGCGGGAGTGTACTGGCGCTCGTCTCGACGCCATCACGTTTATGATTAAACATGTAAATTTAATATGTCGTCGTCGTAGAAATAAAAGACGCGTATAAAAAAATTTTTTTTAAATGAATTTACTCGATCGATTAAAAATTAATAGATATCAAAAACAAAAAAAAAAACAAGAAAGGCTAATTTTTTTTGTTTTGATTTTATTACATAACCCCACGATAATATTTTACAATTAATTAAAATAAAAAAGAAAAAACGACCATCTTCTAAATAAAAACAGAAAAAACCTCATCCGCCATTTTGAAAAAGTAAAGAAACGGAAAACGGGGAAAAAAATATTTTTTTAAACTCTTTTATTATTCAAATCCATTAAAAATCACGTCGTAAAAGTATAAAAACAACAGAAAAGTTTTATCCAAAAAAAAAAAGATTTTTACAAATTCAACCTTGAAAAAAAAAACAAATTTTATAAAAAGTAATAAAAAAATAAAATCGATTCTTTCCGAAAAAAAAAAAAGAAAAAAGAAAGAAGGAAAACGAATTACAGACGCAAAAGGATTTTCAAGTGAACCGGAAACAAAAGGGAAAAAAAAATTTCCCGATTTCGACATTTTTCCCTACGACAATGATGAGGAAAACTTTTGACTTTCAACGACGGTGATAAAAATGGTGGATGTAATAAAAAATACGTTTGGTAACTACGAATTTCGAAGAGAAAAAAAAGATTTCCAGTTATTGACCCGAAAATAATGGAAAGAATAAAAGAAAAAAAAAGTGAAAATGTATAAAATTTTGGAAAATATTTTCCTCTCTCTCTCTCTCTCTCTTTTCACTATTTTCATTATTTGAAACTCAGGAAATCAATTTTTTTTCCTTCTCCAGCATTCCTTAAAAGAATTTTTTTTTATTATGGACAATTATTTAATTAAATACTTTTTGAATCGTATTATCCTTCGGGGGTAAAGGAATACAGGAAAAAAACCTGGAAAAAAAATGAAAACTGGAAAAACTGGAAAAGGTACTTAATGAAAAATTATCGTCGAATGCTGTCGCTGCGGATTTGTTTTCGTTTTTCTCAAATTCTGTCGTTTTTTTTTTTTTTTGGAAAGTTTCTACGAAAACCTTAAAAAGGATCACCCTATATATCTCTTCCAGTTGCCAAGCAACTGGAATCATTTTCTTCTGCCCATGCGTTTGTTAAGATGAAAATCTTTGAGGTTTTTCACCTTTTTTTCCTCTCTCTCTTTCTCTTAGTTTTCTCCTTTTCTTTATCTTTCTCATTTATTTTATTTTTTGTTTCTTTTCTCTTTATCTCCCTATCCATTGCTTTCCAGTCGATTTTGGTTTTGTTAAAGTCAATAAAAAGTTTAAACGTTTTCTTGCAATCATAAATTTTTCTTTCCCTACAAAAGTCTTAAACCTCAATCGAACGTTTCAATTGTAAAAAAAAATTAACGAACGTTTTCCATTAACGCATAATTATCGATTTTACAAAGGGAAAGTTTAATTTATTATTGGATTTCCCCCCCCCCTTTTGCTTTCTCTCTCTCTCTTTCTCTCTCCAGTGGAGAGCTTTTTCCAAATGTCAAATTCTTATTTCAGATACAAGTTGGAAACATAAAAACAAAAATATTTTCTTTATTTGTTTATTTTGTATAAATGTATTCTCTTCATTCCTCCCCACTTTATCCAGGAGTGACTCCAAAATGAAAAAAAACAATATCAATTTTATTTCTTTTTTTAAATTCCAATAATTTTTATATAAAATAATAATAATAATGCTGGAATTTACTAATTTTAATTTTTTTTTCGTTTTCTCTCTCACTCTCGTTCTCTCTCTCTAGCTTTTT